GCAATGATTTTTGTTCTTCAGTATCATCAGGTGATCTATAACAGGCTAGTCTGTTGGCAAATCTCAGAAAAAATAGAGAGGAAGAACAGTTTGACTATCTTCTCATAGAGATACTCTTACTCCTTGGGGATTCTCCTGTGTGAACAAAATACTCTAAGTCTGTTACATTCAGTAGATTTTTGGTAGAAAAACATGATGCAGGCCCATTGTAAATAAAATTGGGTGTTACACATTTAAATGAAATGGAGATTGGACTCTGTCTTTTAATTTTTCTCTTACGTTTGAGCCAGGTTAGTAATGGTAACACATAGCAATATTTTAGTGTGTTTCAGAAATGTATGTGAATTAAAACACTGAATAGATCAATATGCATGATCTAGAACTGGTTATCACTTCTAGATAACATTCAGAAAAAATGCTGCAACCCTTCCACACAGATGTTGTACTTAAAGGGTGCTTAAACAATAAAAATGAATCAGAAGATCAAAGAGACTGGCTTCTTTCTTAAAACTTTAAAAGATCTACAAGGGAGACAAATAACATATATTTTTGTTGAATTTTAGTGAGTATTTGAGAATTTCACACAAAAAGTAAAATTTCAAAGTGCTTTAAAATACATGTAAGCTACAGTTACAGTTGTCACTGCTGAATTTGTGTTGATATTCTTAGGAAAAAGATTTTGCTGAATAGACTGAAAAGAAACAGCTCTTCACTTGTGAAAGCTGTACATTTAGTATAAAGTTGTTTATTAGAATGAAGTATTATACACTGCATAGTGATGAGGGTTATGTTTCCACTTCTATGGTAACTTTCAGTTTCGTAAAATATTTTTTGCTATTTTAAAAGAACTGAGATACACATTTTTATTTTGTTAATATTACGTTGTGAATTTCTTTCCATGTAATGTTTAGTCTTCTTTTGAGATAATAGAAATTGTAATAAGGCAAAACAAGTTTATTACTTAAAAACATATGCTTGTGTATGTGTTGAAAATGGGATATTCTTCTTAATAGGTTTAAAACCAGGGCAACGCAAAGTTTTATTCACTTGCTTTAAGAGAAATGACAAACGTGAAGTAAAGGTTGCTCAGCTGGCTGGTTCTGTTGCTGAAATGTCCGCTTATCACCATGGGGAGGTGAGTATGAAGTATGGCAAAGTTGTGAGGATTTTTAGCCTTTATAAAATATTAGGTAAACATTTGCTCTACTAAAATTGCAAACCTATTGACTATAACTCTACTAATCACAGATTTACTTTTAAATAAAATGAACCAAACAGTATGTAACTTAATAAGACTGCATATTTCCATTCTTTACAAGTTTTTGTGCACAGTGGTATCCCAGATAGTTTGTGGGTTGTGTCGAAATAGTAGATAACTAGTTACCTAGATAAATTCTAGATTCTAAGATAATGGGAATATAGGAACTATGTACTAGGACAAATTTTGTCTTAAACAAGAAATGTAGTCTTTTAAGGTAAGAAGAAGAGAAGGTTCTTCAAAAACCTGATACAGTGTTCGAACAAAGATGACTTCTAGCTCCTGCTTTGTTTATATCAATCTGAAATATAACAAAAGTTGCCATATTAACAGTCTCTCTCCACCCCTTCTTCTCTCCCTTTAAAATAATTAGTAGTTTGTGCAGTAGTAAGTGCAGTCAATTTGTGCCCCTTTTGTTCCTCCAGAGAAGTGCTTTAGAAAAAATTGAGAAGCCCAGGGGGTTTTATAAGCATAGAAAGTAAGAACACTTAAATCAAGGAGTCAATGTGGCTGTGGAAGAGTTCTTAGTGAATCTGTGTGTCATAGAATCATTAAGGTTGGAAAA